GGCAGGGTGCAAACTCCAGGGCTGTGTGACAAGTCAGTGTAGATGTAGCCTTTGCCTGCTAGGAGGATGAACCTCACGATCAGGCTAATCCATAAACCAGGCTTTGTTACGACTCATTAAACTGGAACTGTCTTTCAGTGCCAGTTTCTCTCATGGGGATGCTCCTCTGGCTCCTGCACAGCTTGGGCTGCACTCACATTGCTCCCCTTGCTGTGGAGTGTGTTTATCAAGATATTCCCCCAGCTGCCTTGAGTATGGTGTTTTGAACTCCTGTCAAATCCCAAATATTGGTGAGCAGGGAAATCTGGAATTTGTCTTCATGTGAAATGCTGAGTAAAATCTGTGGGGCTGTCAGAGGAGTGGGAGCCACCCCTGACTCCTGCCCAGTGCTTGGTGGCCCACCTATTTGTGCCTTGCCATTGCCAGCCCCCACCCTCCTGCAGGGACCCAGTTATCACTCTGAAGGTGTTTCTGGGGTTTAGGGTATCTGTTTATTTTCCTGTTTTACCAATTGTAAACACAAGCTTGTAAGTTCCCTGTAGTCTAATGCAGCCAAGATCTTGCAGGCTGCCAAGGAGGCAAAATAAATCTTGTGTGATAGGTGAGAGCTACACACCAGGAGCCACAGAAGTCAGTATTTTCCACTAATTACCAAGAAAATTCTGTGTGTGTTGGCAAAGATCCCAACATAAGCAATAAAAGTGAGTATTTGGCATGAGGTCAGTCCCGGGTAAAGTACATATCAACAATTCCAAGTGTGTCATGTGCAGGAGTAGAAATCTGTCCCTGGCAGCATGGCTAGAGAGTGGCATTTCCTGCTTTAAAACACTCTGAAGGCTCAGGTAGCACAGTGAGGCAGATGTTGACTTTTTGAAGGCAAACACTGCAGCCCCAGGTGAGAGGGATGCTTTGCAGAGATCTGTGGTAAGTGTTTTCTAGGATCAGCAAGGGCTTATGGAGGGGAAGCACCATGTGGGGAGGGAGAGAGCTTTGCCACTCAGCCTACTGGCAGAATTAAAAATAAAACAAACTTGTTTCTATGTGTTAATCCAGATCACAGCAGCAATGAGAGACCCTGCACCCCAAAGGTAGGCACCCTGAGGCTCTCACAGAGTTACAGAGGTGTTCTCAGGAGCACAAGAGTTGATCCTAGTTGCACTCACTGCAGGTGTGATGTGGGGTGGTTTAGCATGTCTGCCTTTCACCATGGCACCAGAGCCCCATGGGAAGCAGGTGACATCCAGATGGATTTATGCTTTCATTCCATAGCTGGGGTTATATGGGGAATGTGCTGTGAGGTGCCCCATGTTTCAGGATTTATTTTGTATTTGGGAGTGATGACATTGCAGAAAGGTTGTAGTCAGTTATATCCTTGTGGGCAGCAATCGGAGAAGGGCCTGTGTCAATCTGTGCAGCAGCTTTAAGCATTAAAACAATCCTACATTGCCACTTCTTCTATCCACTGGCTGTTTAGTGGAGCACCCCTCAAAATGCCTTCAGGAAAACTCTGAACTATGGAATACTGGCCAAAATATGTCAGACCTCATGGGAGCTGAACAAGCAGCTTTTATGTGAAGCAAAACTTGAACAGTCTGCTCTGCAGTTACTCCAGTGGAGTATCCTCTGCCTTTAGAAACAGACAGATGTATCTAAACAGGTAAATGTGAGCATCCAGAGAAATACTTCAGGCTAAATGCTCCTGTGCCCACTCGTGAAAGCCACTGTATGGAATTGGGGTAGGGATACAAAACATGTATTTCCAGAAGTCAGATAATGCTGAGCTACTTTCTGCACTGGTAGTAACTCAGATATATACTTACAAATAGCATCTGAAGATGCACTTAAAATATAATAATGTCACTTCCAGAGGCAGACACTCCTAGGAGAGCACTTGGGTGCCTAACACCCATTTAAACTTTGCTTTGGTTGTCTCCACATCCTGCTGTCTCAGGATGCAGCAGAACTGGTTCCCAGCTTTGACATCTAGGTCACCCTTTCTGCCTAGTTTTACTATCAGACTTTTGTGTTTTGTGGACTTTTTGCAGCTGCAGAGAGAGAACTCATGGCTGATGATTACAGACAAAGTTCAGAACAAGTAGCAGTAGTGGTCTGTGTCAGATGAGTGCATTTTTCATTTTGTGCTGAATAAATAAATAGAAGCATCAAGCAGAGTAGCTCAGGAGTCCTGCCATGCAGGAAAGTCTTCCTGAGGGGATGGACCAGCAAAGCTGCTCCTCTGCTGTCCCCACCACTCTGGCATGGTTCACACAAGCTGCTGTGCTGACAGAGCAGCCCCCAGGAGCAGGGCAGGGCAAACCTCACAGCTAATGGACTTGTCCTCTTTTGTTTCTTGTTTGGCTCTCCAGCATGATGCACCTTGGCCCCAGAGGTAAGCCTTATTTTGGATGGGAGCCTGAGAAGTAACCATGTCATGGGTGTCAGCTGGAGTTAAGTTTGCCACTGCTCTATTCAGTAACTTTGTTCAGCTCCAGGACTGGTTTCCTGGCGTGTCCACAGCAAAAAGGCAGTGAGACACTGCAGCCTGCTTACTGATTCCTCAGACATTTTGTGGTTGCTCAGCTTGGGCCTGTCACCTCTCCTGATTCTGTTCTCAGTTATTCCTGTCTTAATTCTTGCTGCTTTGGGCATTGCCTTGCCCAAAGTGGGTAAATAAGCCTCTCTTGACAGTGTCCTTTGTCTGAGAAGTGTGACCATGAAGGTTAGTGCCAGTTTAAAGGTGAGCAATGTCTCTTCTCACTTGTGTTAGATTAACCCTTGTTAATCTAAAAGACATCTAATGATGTCTTTTGTGGCTCTGGTTTCCCTGTTTGACTGGGGACCTTTTCTTTGTTCTACTCTTTCTTTCCAGAGTCAAGTTCTTATTTTCTTTCCAGAATCATCGTTCAGATTAGGTAACTGTGCACCATATCTCTGCCATAATATGAAAGCTCTGTAATTGCAGAGGTTAAGATCTCCACTTTTGAGCAAGTTTTTGGTATTTTCAATTCCTTTGGGTGATGTAATAGAAAACAAAGAAAATATGTGCTGAAACCAAATTTGCTACAAACATCACTGGGGATAAAACATATTTGTGGGTTGGTAGAGGTTTGTCCGAATATGGAAAATTGCAACTTTGGATTTCTTGGTTTGAGGAATTAAATCTTGTCTATCAATACGTTTTGACATGTATATCAACGCTCAGCATGTTCTTATGGGCACTGGAATAAACCGGGTAAGTACAGTACTCCAGCATCTCAAGACTGTCATTAACCCCTTGAATGAATTTCTTCTGGAAGATGTTTGCTCCCCGTTTTCTCTGGGCGGGGCAGTGCGCGGCTGCGCTCCCGTGTGCCGGCCCATCTCCTCATCCAGCTGTTTCCATCTGGCGGCCGTGGAGCCGGGCGGCCGGGCTCCAGGGGGAACGCGTGCCGTGGCTGCAACAAGGGCAATCTGGGAACAAACGCATGGCAAACTCACAAATGCTTGTCTGCCATCTGCCTTATTCACTGCTGCCATAACCTACTGTCGCCAACCATTTTCCTGATACAAAAATGCATTTAAAAAGTTATATACTGCATTTGAAAACTGAAGCGAAAACTGCTGGACAGTGCTATTATTTTCAAGCTTTCATTCCTTTAATTTCCCTGATGTACTATCTAACTTTTTTATTAGTTTTGCTCCTGCTTCTCACCACCTCCATCCTCCCACAGGCCCTGTCATCCGTGTGTCTGTTGGAGCCTCTGGCACCTGCTCTCTTCCATCGGGCGTTGCCTCTCTGCACGCAATTCTGCGACAAAAATTTCAGTTAAAATCTTGTATTCCTCATTCTGTCAAAAGCATGAGGAATTCTGCTCACCTTCCCCGTGTCTGTGCAGTGTCACTCTGCCAAAGCGATTTACCTGCGGGAGTATTGGTTCACAGCCGACTTGCTCTGGGCAGGAGCCCTTGCAGGGCTTGTTCCTCGTGCATGGATGGAAAGAGCAATGCCCTACACTGAGCAAGCAGCGAGTTTGCTGCTTTCCAATCGATCTGAATGAGGCTGGTCTGCCATTGCTACGGGGGTTAGTGGGTTTGTGTAGGATGGGGGAAGGGGCTCACAAAAACAAGCCGAAAAGCTTGGAGTCAAGATAGGTGTAAAAAGGGGTTTTTGTTTGGGAATGAAACATTTGTCAAAAAATTCACTGAATACTCTGAAGAAAAATACCCATCCCAGCAACTGATCTAATTCAGGCATTCAGTGTAGCTCAGCCACTTCCCTTGCTTTTTCACCTCGGTCGTGATGGGTCACATTCCCTGTTGAACAACAAGCAGCATTCACTTCTCTGTCCATATTTAACTGCAGTAGCTCAGGTTGCTTTGGGTTTTTTGCGAGTTAGAAGGCTTTGTGCCTCTGCCAGGGAATATTTCTCGCAGCCAGGCTGTTGCTCCCCCAAGGCCTTCTCCAAATACCCGCTCCTTCCTCTTCCAACACAAGCGCTGACTCCCAGCCGAGGGGAGGCTGGCTCCAGGCTGGGGCGCTCGGCTCTGCTGCAAGAGAAACATCAGAGAAACACCCCCTGGCTGGGGCTGCAGACTTGCTGGGGCCCCCCACTCTGCACCCTGCTGGCTCCAAGGGCTGCCAAGAGGGACAGACACCTCTGTTAGCCGAGAGCTGCCGTGGGCCAGAGTGTGGTAACACTGTCCCACGTCCCTCTTGGAGCCAACCTGGCAGGGGTGGGCAGGAATGCTTTGGGACTCTGAGAGCATCCAGAGGGCCCTGGTCAGCATTCCCACAATGGCTCCATGCAATTGTATCTCCACGGCAGCTGCCTGGCCTGGGATAAAGGCTGGGAGCAGTCAGACGCGGGTTTGAAATAAGATCTCTGCAACAATGGGAGCTGCCAGCCAGGAACAAGTCCCGAGTTATGTAGATGGAGAGATTTTACTGGAGGATAAATGTAAATGCAGAGGCTGAATGCTTAGTGGAGTGGGGGTGGGTGAGGGAAAGTGATTAAAAAAATAATTAAAATAATAATAAAGGCATCCAGCATGAAACACCAAGCCAGCTGGCAGACAGCACAAAGGATATCAAGCAGAAATAGCAAATACATCTGGTGTCACCCAGAGGCAAAGCTAAGGAAGGTTTTTGTGGGGAATGTTTTCTGGAAAAGGGAATTTGGAACACTGTAAGAATGGTTGTGGCAGGTGACCCAGTGCCATGTCCTATCTCTACATGGCAGTTGCCTGAGAAAAATGCAAGAACACCATTCCCATTAGGCAATCTATTCCCAGGACACCACCCCAGAATCCTGAGGCTTGTGACTCTGGGACTTCAGTGACAGACTTCTCAGCGGGAGTGTGTGTGTGTACATTCGATACAACTCTTAAGTTTACATCAATGCCCTCTACTTTTTTTGCATGGGGACAGCAAGTGAATCTAAATCTGCCTTCTCCAGACCATTTGGGATTTTACAGACCTTACCAAAGCTCTCTCTCTTGCTTTCAGACTGATGGTTCATGCTCTTTATCTGTTCCAGGTACAGAAGAAAATTTGCACTGTGGATGTTGTCACTTTCTCCTGAGCCTCTTCCAAGTCTTTTGATGACCTGAACTGCAAAGAACATTCACAGATTTATAGTAGCTTCTTTCCTTTTTGCTTCATCTCCTGTCCTGGAAACTCATGGGCTTGCTTTTCTTATGGTGCTGAACACTTCACAGGACTATCTCTCTCAAGGTTTTGTTCCTGAGTGATATTGTTGAGCTCAGAGTAGATAATCGTGTATATATGAAGTAAATAGGTGTGTGTATATATATGTATGTGTGTCTATATATAAATTCTCCACAGTTTCTTATTTTCTTTGCTAGCCTGAATGACTATTATTACCAAACACATCACTTTTCTCTCCTTTCTAGGTGATTTGTGGCAATAAAGAGCAAGCACTTGCATACGCTACAGAAATCCACTGGATCTGCCCTGCTGTAGAAACAAACCAGTCATGTTTCTACCACTTGACTTTCTCAGTTCACTAAGTATAGAGGTGGCAGCAGGAGGCTGGGGTGTCTTCTCTTAGTTACTTAATAGCTTTCAAGGTGAGGACTCTACCAGGAAGTCCTGGTAGACTCAAGGAGATGGATCTCTGCTGAACATATGTTTACTTCTCCAAAGCTTTCCCATGCCTCTGTGAAGCCAAGGGAGCAGCCTCCTTCCAGCATGCTGTCTGTACACTGATGGGGGTGTATCAGAAATAAGTGACTGTGCTCTGTTTTGTTTCAGAGAAACAAAACCTTAAACCTGGTGAGTTGCTCTATTCACAAAAAGTTTCTGAGATCTCACCAAGATGTTCAGTTACTTACAGATAATTCTTCCTTAGTTTATTTGTGTCTCTGTTTAGTAAGCCACCGATCACATTGATACTTAGAAAAAAAATGACCTTCTGTAAACTGCAGAAGATATTTGATGGGTGAAACACACTGTGCTCCTGTTTCCAGCCCGATGGTGCAGTGGCCCTCAGCTGTCATTCCCAGAACAGGTGCTGTAAATCAACACCCTGGTGGATATATTCTGGCAGCACCCTGGTGAGGCAGCACAGCCCCCTCTGAAGAGACCTCAGAAGTGCTTTGTGCGTGTCTCCTTATGAGTGCAGCAAGAGGATGATGAAGGTCCATTGTGTACTACTCCTCCTCATCTCCTCAGGTAAGGTGTTCCAGCCATTGCCTTGAAGGGGGGTTGTCTCCTCCCAGAGCATGTGGGACCATGGCTTTGCATACACATCAGCATGAGTGAGTGTGTGTTCCAGGAGCAGCCTGTCCTGCTGGTAAGGTTTTATGAACACACCTAATCATTTAAAAGAAAGCTTTGGAGTGTGTTAGTAGCAGCTCAGATATTTGTAATTTCAGGCACCAGATATTTTGAGCAGAGAATTTTGTGTTTAGTTGTTTTTCTCTCTGCGATCTTTTTTCATGCTCCCATTTGCCTTAGTGCTACATGTATTTCAAAATATGTGAAAGGATCTAGTAAGCATGACTTGGAATGTGAAAAATCATTACAAGAAGTTGCATTAAGTTGTGGGGTAACTGACAAGGAGGTAGAATTGATTGGCAGCTGCATGTGTTGTACTGAGCTAATTCTTTTTAAACTGTCCCTTAAAAGAATAAATATTTGTCATCCTAAAAGCTTTTCAGAAAATTCAAGCAGCATACTAAATTCTTACCAAGCTACACCAGAAGGGAGCAAATGTGAAAGGATTTCAATTGCATTAAGAAAGCATAGAGCTTCAATTAGATGTGATGCTGTAATCATAACTTAAAAATTGAGAGATGCCTCCTGCCTACCCTCGTTCAGCCTCCTGGCAGAGGAAGAAACCAGTGTCTGTCTGCAACAGACAACTTTTCTGATTGACATCCAAGTATTTTAATATAATCTCATGGCAGGACAAGGCCAAGGCAGAAACCTTGGCAATCTCAACTCAGGAAACCAGCAGAAATCCCAGCTTAGGTTGGAGTCAGCAGCAAAATTCTTGTTGACTTCTGTCGCCCAGGATTCAACAGAGAGGGGGAGATAAGGGTGCAATCTGCCAAAAATGTTTGCTGTGAGGCTCAGCTGTTCTGTTCCCTCTCTCTACCTTTAAGAGGGGACACATATAAAAACATCCCCAAGCACCCCTCACATTTGCTTTCCTCCCTGTAACAGTGAAGCAGCTACAATCTGAGGACATCATGTGCTGCTTCTTCTGCCACAGGCTCTCTGGGAGCAGGGCCCCTTTGTTTTTCTGTGCCCTTGCTTCCTGGCAGTGCCGTGCCATGCACAGGCACTGAGTGCTCCACTGGAACAGGGATGCTCCCTGCCATTTTCACTTGTGAAATTTTTCTTTCAAGGCTCTTTGGTACAGCATGGCCAAGTCATGCTGGGCAGCCTGTGGGCAGAGCTGTCCATGGACCTACCCCACAGCGTGAGTGGTTTCCTTCTCTCACCACCTGCACAACCCGAGCAACTCCTACTGTAGAGAGGAGCTCTTGTTCCACTTAGATTGAGGATGTGAGGAGTGGGGATGGTGATGCCTTCTCCATGCCCGCTGTGCTTGGCCCTTTCATGTCAGTGTCACAGAAGTTCCGTGGAATTGAAGATGGAAAAGGCGACATTAGAAATCCCCGAGACTGGACATTTTCTGTGTTTAACTGCCCATAAGTACTGCATGTTAGCACAGTTTCATGCTGGAAAACCCCTGAAGTTCAGTCTGAAATTCATGTTCCTGCCTATTTGGATTTGTTCATCTCCTGGCTGGAGGCCATTGTCACAGGGAGGACTTGGTGTTATCCCCCCACCAGCAGTGTGCCTGGCAGCATTTCCTGCATGCCAGCCTCAGACTGACGGTGCTGTGCCTGTCCCCTGCCCCTTCTGACCGGTGCCACCCCTGCTGTTCTGCAGCTGGGCTGGCCCGGGGCTATGAGGACGAGACTCGCCTGGTGGAGGACCTGTTCAGTAACTACAACAAGGTGGTGCGGCCCGTGGAGGACCATCGGGACGCCGTCGTTGTCACCGTGGGGCTGCAGCTCATCCAGCTCATCAGCGTGGTACGGCACGAACGCGGGGAGTGCTGAGCCACTGGCTCATGTGATAGTGCCAAATGGTGTTGTTTTTCTAAGGAAACCATTTTTATCCTTTCATCCTGATGCTTGCTGATACTGCCTTCTTTTTTTTTTTCTCCTTTTTTTTAAGGATGAAGTAAATCAGATTGTGACAACCAACGTACGCTTGAAACAGGTAACTCTAAATAGTCTTAACCATTTCATCTAATTCAAATGAATGCACTCAACACAGTCAGGCATTGACTACACTCTCATACCTTCAGGAGCAGCTTGGAGAGGTAGGTAGGTCAGATAGCAGAGCATTTCTTGTTACTGAGATCTGAAGAATGAAGTGGTAGACACTCAGAGTCTTAAGAAAAGCATTTGGGATTGTATTTCAAACAGTAGGCTTCTGATAGCTTTGTATTCTTTTCTTTTGGGGTTTTGGAGCTTTTTAAATAAGCTTCTTAAACCAACTATAAGTTAATGTAAAAAATGATCTGGGGGTCCCACTCCCATATGTTTATGTGTACCTGCACGTCCTAAAGCAAGGGAGGAACTGTTTCTGAGAAGTATTCTAACCCCAGTGTTGGGCAAGGCTCTCAGGGACTGAAATCTTCCCTTTTTAGCAATGGACAGACGTCAACCTCAGATGGAATCCAGATGACTACGGTGGTGTAAAAAAAATCCGCATCCCCTCAGATGATATCTGGCGGCCAGACCTTGTTCTTTACAACAAGTAAGGGGTGCCAGCTGCTGAGGGAGGCAGGGAGGGAAGAAGCGGGGAGGAGCTCTGCCTTGTGGCACCACTCTGGTGGGACAGTTTTCCCATTACATCTGTTCCAGTGGGTACAATTCCTCAGGGTAAGCTTCTCCAGGAGCAGGCACTGGGGAGTCATTTGACCCCCAGCCAGAGAAATCCTTTTGTGACTCTTCTGATTATGCTGCCCATATTGCATTTAATGTCCTTGTTCCTTCTGCAGTGCAGACGGTGATTTTGCCATTGTAAAATACACCAAAGTCCTCCTGGAGCACACAGGTCTGATCACCTGGACACCACCAGCTATTTTTAAGAGTTACTGTGAAATTATAGTCACGCACTTCCCATTTGACCAGCAGAACTGCAGTATGAAGTTGGGAACTTGGACATACGATGGTACAATGGTTGTTATTAACCCGGTAAGCGAGGAGTTTGTAATTGGGAAAAGCAGCAAAGACCTGCACATGTTTTTAAGAGAAATCTCAGATTTAGAATGGAATATGACCTAGTTTTGACTGGAAAAACAAGCAGACTCTACCTGCAAAACAGAAAATTTTCATTTGTAGATCTAGCACAAGATTTCCTTGTTTGGCTCCTAAATTCTGCATACATATTATCCCAGTGCCCTAACAGTCTCCTATCTGTCCTCTGGCAGCTTTGCACCACTTTTTATGGTGCTGCTTGTTCTGCTTCTGTTTGTTTTCTCGGGTTTAGGGTTTTTTTGAGGGGTTATGTTTTCTCTGCTCATGACTTTCCATTGCCAAAAACTACTTCCCTGTCCCCCCAGGTATGTCTCATATCTGTAATATTTTTTCAGTCTACTATCCCTGACTGTTTCTGTAAAATATTTAGTTGAATGCTGTGTAGAGGCTGGTATTCTAAGGAAAAATTACATAGACGAGAGCTGTTTACTCACCAAAAAAACTCCATAAAGTGCATGAGTTATTTGGAATCCTGTTCCTGTGCCAAACCTGCTAAGTTTTGATTTGGTTCAGAATTCCTGGTATTAAGAATTTGTTTGGGTGTTTTGCTGCCAGGAGAGCGATCGCCCTGATCTGAGTAACTTCATGGAGAGTGGGGAGTGGGTGATGAAGGATTACCGAGGCTGGAAGCACTGGGTTTACTACGCTTGCTGCCCTGACACCCCTTACCTGGACATCACCTACCACTTCCTCATGCAACGCCTGCCTCTCTACTTCATTGTGAACGTCATCATCCCCTGCCTGCTCTTCTCCTTTTTAACAGGGTTAGTTTTTTACCTACCCACAGATTCAGGTATGTAACTTTATTCATACTACTTCCATAGAAATTGCTCTTCTAAGAAGTTCCTAAGAAATTCCCAGTATTTGAAACCAACTTGAAGGCCAGTGCATACTAAAACTAGACATTTCCACTGGAAGTAATGGCCTTAAATATTCTGCAAAGAAAGGATAAGCGCTGAAAACTGAAATTGTTGAAATAAATAAATTGGAGCGCTTTCCCATAGAAATTGCTGACAACCTATCCAGTTAACTTCTGCAAACTAAAGATTTAGCTGGATAATTTTTATGTTTTGCCATAGGCAGTGTGTTACTGCATCCTGCAGTAAATGAGCACACAGGGGTGACAGAGGCCCTTCTGCACCATGTCAGAGCAGAGAGTTTATTACCTGCTCACACACACATTACCTTGTGTGACACAGAGTAATCCTGACCTGTTCTGGCCTCCTTTGTGTCTGCTGAGCCACTCATGCACCCTGCAACCATTGCTCTCCTTCATTCTTTTACCCTTTTGTCAGATGTTCATACTGCTTAATTGCAGTGTGAGGCCCTTCTTATTAAATACTTGATGAATTTTTTGAGTGGAAAACTTTCTACAAAGTTGAACTGGATTTTAAAAAATGTGTGAATAATGTTTTATAATTAATTTTTGACACCCTCCACATGCAAGGAGATCTCGCATAGCAACTGACCTGATGTCAGATGTGATTTTAGTCTGCTCTCTCAGCCCAGAGACAGAGAATAAGAGAAGCAAACCCTCAGGAGGCTGTAGAGCAAGCACTAATCAGGTGTATCTGCTGCACTGTTCAAAATGCAGAGCCCACAAAATGCTCCTAGCAAGGTAAAATATTCAGCACCCACACTTCAGTCTGGTTATTCCTGGTAATTCCCACCTTAGTGCTGGAGCTGATGCTGTTAGGCTCTTAGGTTTGCCCAGCCTACTTGCTGCTTTGGATGCTGGCAGAGGTGATAGCACTGCAAATGCACACAGATGTTTGTGTGAACAGCCCTCACCCACATCCTGCTTCTCAAATAAATGCTCTCTGTACTGAATGATAGGAGCAGCAATGATTTTGGGGGGCTTTTTTCTGATAGGTGAGAAAATGACCCTCAGCATCTCTGTCCTGCTGTCTTTGACTGTGTTCCTGCTGGTCATCGTGGAGCTGATTCCCTCCACCTCCAGCGCAGTGCCTCTGATTGGCAAGTACATGCTGTTTACCATGGTGTTTGTCATCGCCTCGATCATCATCACCGTCATCGTCATCAACACCCACCACCGCTCCCCGAGCACGCACACCATGCCCCACTGGGTCAGGAAGGTGAGCTCTGTGCCTTGGTACACTTGCTGGTTTCCACCAAATGCTTCATATTTTATTGGCAGGTTTTCTCATAAAAGTCAAAAAGAATTGGGGAGGTAAATGCATCATGTTAAAGGTCTCTAGGTACAAGAGCCAGTGTTTACTACTTAGCTGTGTGTAAAGTCAGCAAGATTGCTAAAGTGCTCCTTTAAGTAACAGAATTGTCCACTGGGGTAGAGTCTAGCAAGGAACAGATGAGACAAAACATGGACAGCTAAAAGTAGGGAACGGGAAAAGAAAATGTCCATCTGGACACGGATAACATATCCTGGTCTAATCCTCCATCTGACTGCAAGGCACTGCTGCCTGCCAGTGACCAGCCACCAGCCTGCACAAGTGCAGAGCACAAAGGCCACTGGAAATACCTGACTTCAGCATCCCATTTTGCAAAAGATGGTTTAGCAAAATCTAGAAAAATCTTCTCTGAACTTTTCCAGCATACAGTTGTTCTGCAACCCTTGGGAGATCCTTGCACAGGAATCTAAATGGTAATCATAAGACATAGAAAAAATTGAAGTTCTTTGCCAGGGAGACAGAATCAAAGATCATCTGATTTATTCAGTAATCCTTGCTGTTTTGGAGCCTGCCTGGGTTCATGCTAAACCATGACACTAAAGGAGGTTTTTCTGTGTATTTCTACTTATGCTTTTAAGGTTACAGCTTATATCAGATTCCCTCTGCAGCACAAAGAACTCCTGCAGAAGGGAAATTTCAACAGGAAATGCTCCATGTGCTTAACATTGCTCTGGCATCAAGTCTCTTACTGTAAACCTTATATGCCTATAGCAAGCATTCAAAATATAGCAAAATCAAACCTAAGTAGCCAAAAGAGTTTCTTTGTAGTCCATTCTTCAATCAGATTTGTAGGCAATATGTTTCAAGTTAGATGGGATGGCTCGAGCTCTGTCAGCTCGTGCTAGCTGAGGATCTGCTCCGCAGCATCACTCCCCACCTGATGTGTGGATGTTGGGTGTGGGGCAGGGATGGCTGTCAGAAAACGTGATGGCTGCAGGCCTGTGGTGTGGATGTCAGAAAATGTGATGGCTGCGGGCTGACAAAAGCCCCAGTGTAACCAAGGAAGCGATCTGGGAGGGGAGAGGCTTGTCTTTGTCCAGCACACAGCTGCAGCTGTAACACAGCCCCACGGACCAGCAACTGGTATCTTCTCCCTTTGTTTTCAGATCTTTATTGACACAATCCCAAACGTCATGTTTTTCTCTACAATGAAACGACCATCAAGAGACAAACAAGACAAAAATATTTTTGCGGAAGATATTGACATTTCTGACATTTCTGGAAAGTCAGGTTCTATGCCTGTCAACTTCTACTCCCCGCTTACCAAAAATCCAGACGTGAAAAACGCTATAGAGGGAATCAAATACATTGCAGAAACTATGAAATCGGACCAAGAAGCCAGTAATGTAAGACTTTTTTTTTGGTGCATTATTCATTTCTAGCTTTCAAGTTGCTACATCTTACTTTTTTGGCAAAATATCCCTGCCTTACAAAAACACTCCAAGCCGTGGTTTGGCTCTAGCAGTGGACAGTCCTCTCCCCTTAATGGAGTCAACAAGGAGCAACAAATACTTGTCACAGAAGTGAATTGAATATTGGCTTCCCAAAATAATAGAAAAGGAAAAAGTGTCAGTGTGAAGGTTTTCTTATGTGATATGTGAATCCATAGAGATGGGGTGTCTGTGAGTAAGAAACCAGTTTCAAGAACTGTAAGCAAGTTCCAAAACACTTTTCTTCTGTCTCCCACTCAGGCATCTTGCCCTAGTAAGATTCTGCTGCTTTTGAAAACCCAGGAAGGAAGGCAAACTCCAAAAGACTAGTAGTGTTATATGAGAAGTGTTAAAAGTAACTTACAAATTTTATTTCCAATTTTGATAAGGTTTTGTTTTATTCCTGAATACAAGTAGTCCCTCCAAATGAAGTATGTCATGAGCCACTCTGATTACTGACTTTTTCCACATTGCAAGCCAAAGGAAGGATAAAAGCATATAGAGTCACACATGGCAGCGTTCCCTAGGAAAACCTAGCTCTGCCTCCTTCTAGCACATTCAGTACAATTAACCCCTCTTTTATTTCAGCTTTCACAGCTCACACAGCTTTTGCAGGGGTAATTCAGTCCTGGTATTTCACCTTCCAAAGTGGTCACAGACTTCTCCTGTTGGGCTGTAGGCTAGTCTGAAGACAGGGGAGCTCTCTGAGAAACTAATTTGACCCACTCTCTTGAAAAAGAGGTGCTTACTTCTTACTGACAGGATTTACACCACGGTGTTTTTTCCTGTGAACAAATTCTTGGAGCATGTGAGATTGCTCTGGCTGTAGTCTCATGTTCCCCATGACTCCTCTGCCTCTCTGCAGACAAATTGTTGTCTTCAGCAGGGTTGGCATGGCTTCAACATCTCTGGGCTTCACTTCCTCCTTGGCTCACAAGGAGGGTCTTCAAGTTACCAGCAAATGCCCCCTTCGGAAGTGGAGCCCAGCTGTTTGTGTCATCTGGGCACTATTGATATATCACTTCAGGGGATTTCAAAAGACATGTTCCCTAAATAAATGAAAGGTTCTGAAGGCTATCACTTCATTGCATTCACTTCTGAACTGCCTCAAAATAGTATTCATTATCAGTGTCCTTTAGATAAATTACAACAGCCTCTCCTACTTGTGGGAGAACCAAGGCACAAGCAGAAGGTGTTTTAGGCCAGCACATGTCACTCCTTAAGGTGGAGTTCCAGGGTGGAAATCATGAGCCATGCTGTACTTGGTGCCTTGCACCCTGCATGCTCTTACTGTGCTGGGCTCCCACCAAAATCATCCAGTGAAAAGATACAGAGCAAGTGGTTCATGGTGTCCCATAACTAGAAAAAAGACTAAAGGAGCTACCAAGAAGATTTTATAAGACATTAGAGTGTATGGAAAGCAGGGATCAGGGTTAAATTAATAGGAATTGCCTAGATAACCCATGAGAACAAAAAAGCAACGGGAAAACAAAAGTCATTTGGGTCAAACTAAGCATTTTGCTTTCAAGATTTTAAACTCTCAGAAGCAACAATTGGCCTAACAATTAAGTTTTCAATATTTTTTAAAATGAAATTGTTCAGGGTTTTTGGTTAGTTTAGTGTTGAAACTTGTATTTCTAGGTTGCTTAGGCTTTCTTAACCACTGACCTGCTTTTGAGAAGAACATGAGTATTTTTTACATAGCAATAATGGCACTTAGGGAAGAGTCTTCCCCTTGTTCAAGACAGTAAATTACAAGAATGCTGTAACAAACAGGGCTCTGCAGAGATTTTACCATCTCCTTTGTTTCTTTCTCAGGCTGCAGAAGAATGGAAGTTTGTTGCAATGGTGCTTGATCATCTCCTCCTTGGCATATTTATGCTAGTTTGTTTTATAGGAACATTAGCTGTATTTGCTGGTCGCCTTATTGAATTAAATCAGCAAGGATGAATGTCAGATGGAAACTATTTGCTACCCTGAACATCTGAAAGCATCCTAACCATCAAAATCTGGCCAGTCTCTGAAAGGTTCACTGACAGGAATCAGTAACAGCTGGGAAAGAACAAGGATAATAAAACGTAAGGCTCCATACGTCACACTTCTGAGCTGCTACTCAGTAGCATTTAATTGCAAAAAGAAACACTTGCATTACTGGTAACTTGAATGGCTGTCAGCCAAGTTTTGATCAATTTCACCCTTTATTAAAAATGTTAATGTATTAATAAGACTGTCTGAGTTTGTAAGCAACACATACTATTCCAGTGAAGTCATTAGCAATGTAATAAGCTTTAGCTGAGCTGTAAATCTGTATCCAACTTTGGCATTCGAGACGGTTTTAATATCTGCTCTGTGGCTTTTGTATTAGCAAGGTCACTCCTCTGATAAAACTAGATAGAAATATCTTGAGCTCCATGCTTAAGCACTTGATTTTCGGTGTGCAGCAGAGGGTGAGATCCAGCCCGGCTCCCGCCGGGGCGGTGCGGGCTCGGCCGTGCGGGACCCGGCCGGCAGCGCTCCTCCCGCCGCAGCCTCAGCCCCGGCCCGGCCCTGCTCAAAAGTTGAGCAGCAGCTCGCTCTGCTGGCTAAAGCAAAGCAGTGCTGCCTCTGCCCAGCACCGCCAGGCTTTGTTTACTCCGCATTCGACGGAAGCAAGAAGCCTCTCTGCGTTCAAGTAATGCCGTGCGGCCATACCAGCAGCGCTGCCTCTTCTTCTCAAAAATAAATAAGGATAGGTGGGGCAGCTGCGACAAGTTACTCATCTTTTCCAGCTGGTTGGCCAAGCTAACAACACTACTTTGCTAACAGCTGTAAACAATTTGCTGTGAGTTTAGTAAAATAATTCGTGTTATGTTAAAACGTGTCATGCCTGCAGAGGACAGGCATTTGAAGCACTATAGGGAAAATGAGGCACTTGGGCAACGCTCCCAGCATTGCGTAGTGTTTGCTGGACAATGTTTTGGTGAGCTGCAGTCCTAAGCAAACAGTTTGTCTGGGGTGATAGATCACTTGTAGCACTCTGCTCCACTCTTACGGTTTAAAGGATGGTAATCTTTGCCTCCCTGGATGATCATTAACCCTGTGAGCAAAGGCCGAAGATGTATTGCTGGGAGCCACCTCTGCTGCCAGAGGGAATGTGCACCGCAGCCGGCTTTATCTCCGGTGGGAGTTCCCAGCTCCAAGCCCCGGGGGGAGTCAGCAGCTCCCTGCTCACTCTGAGCTAAGCTGCACACTAACGGTGCCTCGAACTTGAGAGCTTCTGACTGGGACCGAAATTGACAGAACAATCCTCTTAGAGCAGCATGTGATTGAATCTTAGCATTAAAAATAAACATCAAGTAACAAGATTCATGGTGAGCATCCACAGTATCTTTGTTCAGTTTCCCCAGGGCAGAGCTGAGTAGTGGCCTCCAAATTCCCCCTATTTGTGTGCCAGAGTAAATGTGTGCATGAGTGTGTCTGCCTGCCTGCTTCTCCAGCTCTCCTTATACACAGCTAGGTACCAGTGCTTTCCTTCCACTTCCTCAGAAAAAGGTTTGAAACTATTTATTCAAAAATTTTCATCTGTGATGGTTTGACCTGTTTTATAGGCACAACAAATCTTCTGCCTTTCTGTCACTTTGACAACTGATGAACCAGTTGTGTCTCAAAAGATGTGACAGCAAGCAAAAATAAATGCTAACAACTTCCCTTCTTAGGTTGCGGATTCTGGGCACTGTACTCTGACTCTCCAAACAGGGTTCTCCAAGCATCAAATAAGCATGTTTGGGGTTTTTTTATTGGTGGTTTTGTTTTGTTTTGTTTTGCTTCGCTTTGCTTTGAATACTTGGACTGTACCAGCCTATATTTTCTCTTCCCAGATCACCTTTATGATACATCTTTCTTGCATACCACTTGTATACCACTAAGATCCCCTGTTACCAGTATCCATCACTGACAGAATACCCTTACCTACCTGCAGACTACCTCTTCTCTACTGCTACTCTCCCTGCAATGTCAGCCCCTGCTAAAATTGTAGCTTAGGAGGTTGTAAATCTTCTGTCTCAGTCACAGTCACAGAAAATCTGCTGTTCATGTGTAAGTATGTATAGTCTAATGAGCTCTCATTTACAGCCCTGTAGCCCCCCCTTGCAACCTTAACGCTAAACACTCCTCTCTCCTACATGGGTTGAATCAGCAGCCCCAGGGAGACGACCCTGGATAATACTTTGCAACCCACGCATGCATCTCTGCCGCCTCGTTGCCTTAAACAGGCATATTTCAGCCTGGAGCTTCAACTAACAAATCTCATGATAAGCAAAGCAAGAAACAAGCATCACACACACTCATTGTTAAATTTCTCTAATAAGTATAAAAAATTATGACATAAAAAGATCATGGTGCTGAAGTAAGCAGACCTCATTTAAATGAATGCAGACCAGGGGCATCTGGGTGGGAAGGTGTTGCTTTTGTAGTGATAGTACCTGGAGCAGTTGACTGCTATCTTCTTGCTACTAAAGTGGCTTTTATTCACTTTGAGCTTGTTGATAACACCATATTTATGTCCTTAGTAGAATAGCTTCCTGGAATTTCTCCATCTTTTTCAGTTTGATTCTCTTTCCAGTTTTCAAACCATTTGGAAGTTAACTTTCCCCTTCCCATCCATTTAGCTGACTTTAGCTACTCTCTACTGTGCCATGGATATGTTACTCCCAGAGATTCAGTCACTCCCAAATCTCTTTCCTCTTTGGCACTTGTGATCTTCAGGAGACCTGACTCTTCTGAGAAGGTTATTTGAATTTTCACAGTCCCTTATCTTGTACCACCTCCAAAGGAGCAGTTTCACCTCTGCAGGAGTCCGTAATCAGAATAGGCTGCTGCTTTCCATCCTCACCAGACAGCTGAGCTGAACTCGGTGTCCTTATTCTGTCTCTTCAGCCAGCTGGATCTCAGCTTTGTAAAATGTAGTTGAGCTGATCAAGACAGAGAACAGAAAATGACACTCACTGAACTCCAAGCACTTGACTATGAGCTTGTGTATGCCAGGTGTGATCATTTATCTGCCACCAGTGCTTGGGTCCCACAGACTCCCTCAGTTTGAGAGTTTTTTTTAAAAATCAAGTTCTTGTTTCAGGCAATTGCAAGACAGTTTAAGTACTCTTTTTTTTTTTTTTTTTTCTCCAGGATATAAGTTGCTGCCAACCTCCTTGCTGTGGCAGTCTCCCCAGAGAAGTGTGAAAGCAGTGTGAGTTTCAACAGCGTGCTGACTCAGCAGTTCCTGTTTCCACAGCTGAGGCAAGCCACAGCGGGTAGGGACAGCAGGGCAATAGAGAATGTGTAACACAGGACCCAGATAAGTGCATAAACACTGCGCTGCTGCTGGAGAAAGGGAGCACGTTACCTCCCTGAAAGGTTTGTTCTCTGGTACGGTGACAGGCAAGATAGCACTTTTAAAGTCACCGATAGTTTAGCACATCAGAAATGTTTTTGAGTTTGGGCACGTCTAGAAGGTTGCTGTCCTTGGCTCCAGTCACAAGACCTCACATTTTCATGTTTACTAGTACTAGATAAATTCTAGCACAGCCTCCAGGCCCCTAGGCATGCTGCTGGCTGTAAATTACCTCTCTCTTTGTTTTCTTAAAAATTGTGAAACTGAGACAAAGTCTCCCAAGCTTCTGTCACCTGAAGGTTGCACAGAAACTGACTCCTAACAAAGCTCTGGAGTAATCGTCTCTTCCTGGAATTCAAACCCCAAATACAGAAAAGGCAATCGTGCACTGCCTTGTAAAAGATTCTCTAAAATAATCGTACTTCAGTCCCTGTTAAAGTCTAAGCGACTGACACAGCTATGGAAAAGAGCCAACCTGTAGGCAAGCATTTCCATGCTCACTGTGAGAGCCATGATGAGTCCTGCTGGCTGCAGGTGGGTTATCTACAGCAAGGACAGGACAACTTCACTTGTTACCATGCAACAGGCCAGCCTGACCAGCAGGCAGAAGTCCAAAGGAGTTTGTAGGCTACTGCATCACAGTGATGATGGATCACTCAGTGGATTCCCCACAAAGGGACAGTTTTTCCTAGCAAGGGTTGTCACCATTTCCTGTCATCCCAGCACAGATCTCCAACGGCAGCACATCTTCCCAACTTCCAAAAGCTGAGCAGATCTGCACAAGTGTTTGCTATTTATCCCATATGGAGCCTGGATTAAACACATTACATGGTATTTCCCCAGCAGGTAGACAAGATGAAGCTGTTTGCCTCTACGTGACTTTTCAGCTAACCAATGACCCAAATGCAGTTTGCTATGATGAGGAACCTCATGTGGATTTGTGACCCTCTTTAGAGTGCTTTGGGACTGTAAAGAGAGTAAACACAGAGTACCTGCAGTTTTACTATTTGTGAGCACTGAAATTTTTGCTTGCAAGCTAATCTACATTGGATGTATGGGTCAGAAAAGGGTACACATAAAAAATTGTACCAGTTTTTGTGTTTTCTTGTAATGCTCCAAGCATACACAGAAATAGAGAAATGACCTACATAAAAGCCTGGCAAGATTTCCAGCCTTCCACTGAAGACAGCACAGTAATGCCATTGCTCTTATGACAGCACGTCTCACCATAAAGCTGTGCCTTCAGGCAACAGCTCATCTGAGGAAAACATGAAAGTAAGTTGCAGCAGGTTAACTTAGAATACAGGTTACTCAGTCTTTGACCTTGCTGGGACGTGTTGCTACAAGTGAATCAAGAGCATATTTCAGTTCTTCAGGACACCTGTCACTAACATTTTTATTTTAGATAACAGTGTTATATAGCTGCTGGGCTGGACCATGTCTACACATGGAGTAAACAGAAACCATCTGAACACCTCCAAGATGTGAAATCCTGTGGAGACAAAAGCACGTGAGATCAATGTTGGCTCAAATAGACACTTGGGACACAGTTCTTGCACTTCAAACTTTGCTCCTATCTGCACAAGCTACTCCATTACATATACTTGGGCATTTTTCCATCCAAAACCTCAGTGTTGGACATAAAAACATTAACATAAATTTTGTTTCTAGAAAACTTAGTCAAGCTGAGGGGGGAAAGGGAGCAGAATCTACTGCTTGCCTGGCAAAGCAATCTCTGCATGAGTTAATTGAGGAATGAAACACAAATACCTTCTGAGGCATCCTGCAGAGATGGGTAATTGACCTACCCACATTTCAGTATACTGCAAACCTTAACAGGGAAAAAGCAAGCATCTTTTCCCCACTGTTTAATTACGTTTCTACTCTACCGTGTGTCTCAGCCCGGTGCCTTGCTACTCCCCAGGCGCCCCTAGCCCTTCCCCGCTGGCTGCCATCAAGGCCATGGAGGCAGGTAGGGCAGCACAGCGTGTTGAGCGCTCTGTGGGCACAGGGAGCCCCGGGAGCAGGGCCGAGAGGAGCGGGGGCTGTGCCGCGGGCCGGCAGGGCGGGGGGCACGGAGAGCAGAGCTGCCCCTTTGCTGAGGGCATGGCCGGGGAACCGGGGAGGCTGCGAACGGGATGTGTCCTCGGCAGAGCGACACAGGTCAGGCCGCTGGCACCTGGGGACCCGAACCCATCTCCCTGTGAGGGGGCTCTCCGTAAGGGACTGGTGTGAACTCCCACTGGGCACCGGGCACGGAAAGACCGGACACGGGCATGGCGGGCACCCCGCCGGGTCCCGCTCCGCCGGCCGGGCCGAGGGGCGCAGCGGGGCCGGCCGCGCTGTGCGGGCCCGGGGCATGTGCGGCGGCGCGGGCGGCGGGGGAGCGGCGCCCCAGAGCCGCGCCGCGCCGCTTCCTGCCGCTATAAATAGCCGCCCGGCCCAACATGTCCCGGCCGCCGCAGCGGCTGCAGCGCCGGCGGGAGCCGCCGTTCCCGCCCGCACGGAGCGCGGTAAGGGGCTGCGGGGGTCTCTGGGGCGGGCAGGGCTCCGCGCTGGGGCCGCTCCGCACCCCGCGGGTACAAGGGTCGGGAGCCGAGTCTCGCCCCGTGCCTGTCTGCTCTTTCTCTCTTTTCTTCCAGACTGCTCTGTCTTGGGCTGGACGCGTTCCTCCTGCCTCCCGAAGCCGTGCTGGCAGGCTGGGATCCCTCCCTGCTTCCCCTCGCATTCCCGCTTCCCCCGGGTTGGGCGCGCCCGCGGTGGCGGCTGGCGCTGGCCTCTGGGCGCAGCCCCCGGCAGCTCGGACCGTGCTGCTGCCCGGGCTGCCGGGGAGAGCTGTGCCGTCCTTGTCCGTCTCTGCTGCTGTGCAGCCAGGGCTGTGAAATCCTGGCCGGCGTGTCAGGGTGGGGAGAGCCGCGCTGGGGCCGTGGCTCAGGCTGGAGCCGTGGCACGCACCGCCGCCTGCACGTGTGGCACGCA